TCACTACTGCATAATCATTATTGTTGATCCCCTCCGGTGCACATTGTAGTTGCTTCAATTGAAGTGCCCCTCTCAGCGCTCGCACCCTAGTTTTCACCAGGGAATGTCTTAAGGCTCAAACTATGCCCCTGGCCCCGGGGTTACAACAACAACGGGCTCCGCCTGAGACTTCCTCACAATTTAGCCAGGACCCCGCTCCCGCCTGAGACTTCCTCGCATTATATTCAGGAATCGCGCTCTCGCTTGGGGTTTCTGTGCCGTGTATTGAGAATCGCTCCCTCGGCGCTCAGGAGTCGCGCTCTCGCTGGACATTTGCTTGCAATCTACTGAAGAATAGCGCCCCTGCTGTGGAATTTCCCGCAGTTTACTCAAACGCCGCGCTCCCGACATTCAGGCGCCCAGGAGTCGCGCTCACGCTTAGGATTCCCTCCACATATTATTTAGGAATCAGGATATCGCTGCCCTTTGTGGCCCCCCTCGCTGCCCTTCGGGGCCCCGTTGTAGCGGTTCGTGGCCCCCATCGCTGCCCTTCGTGGCCCCGTTGAAGCCCTTCGTGGCCCCCTCGCTGCCCTTCATGGCCCCGTTGCAGCCGTTCGTGACCCTCTCGCTGTCCTTCGTGGCCTTGTTGCAGCCCTTCGTGGCCCCCTCGCTGCCCTTCGTGGCCCCGTTGCAGCCCCTCGTGGCCCCCTCGCTGCCCTTCGTGGCCCCGTTGCAGCCCCTCGTGGCACCCCTCGCTGCTCTTCGTGGCCCCGTTGCAGCCCTTCGTGGCCCCCTCGCTGCTCTTCGTGGCCCCGTTGCAGCCCCTCGTGGCCCCGTTGCAGCCCCTCGTTGCCCCCTTGCTGCCTTGCGTGGCCCCGTTGCAGCCCTTCGTGGCCTTCTCGCTGCCCTTCGTGGCCCCATATAGCATGCCCTTCGTGGCCCCCGCTCGTTCGCGTCCGTCGTGGCCCCATATGCATGCCCTTCGTGGCCCCGCTGTCGCCCTTCGTGGCCCCCATCGCTGCCCTTTGTGGCCCCGTTGCTGCCCTCAGTGGCCCCGTCCTTGTCCTCCGCGGCCCAATATACGTATGCCCTTCGTGGCCCCCGCTCGTTCGCGCCCGTCGTGGCCCCATGTGCATGCCCTTCGTGGCCCCGCTGTCGCCCTTTGTGGCCCCCTCGCTGTCCTACGTGGCCCAGTTGCTGCCCTCAGTGGCCCCATCGTTGCCTTCTGTGGCCCCGCATTATCTGCCCTTTGTGGCCCCCGCTCGGTCGCGGTCTTCGTGGCCCATACGCATTCCCTTTGTGTCCCCGCTGTTGCCCTTCGTGGCCCCCTCGCTGCCCTTCGTGGCCCTGCTGTCGTTCTCTCTCTCTCTCTCTCTCGCTCTCGCTTTCGCTCGTCGTCGCCGTCGTCGTCGTCGTGGTCGGTCCCCTGTCCGTCCCTCTTGGGGTCGGGTTGCCGCCGATCAGCGCTGCCGCTGGCCAGGCCGACGGTCCGCGGCCGCCCCGCCGCTTGCCGGTGCCTGGCCTGCAGGGAAGGAAGGTATACCGCCCAGAAGGAGTTCGCAGACGAACAGGGCGGGTATCGAGGGCTCGGGAAATACGCGTTAACGGACACTCGAGCAGATAAGAGCGAACAGTCTTAAAATGATTGTTGTTGTTGTTGCAGCTGCTGTTGTTAAGGTTGTTGTTGATGATGTTGTCAAGGTTGCTGTTGTTCTTGAGGTTGTTGCGGCTGGTTGTCATGATGAGAAAGAGCGTGTTCTACCGCTGCTGGCGGAGAACCGGGGGGGGGGCACTGGGGGGTCCCAACCCGTCCTCCCCCCCCCTCGAAAACCAGGGGGGGTCACGACCAGTTCGATACCCCCCCCAGTCCATCATGAAAAGGGGGGGGCCACTAGCGGTTCGAACCCCCCCCAGTCCATCATGAAAGGGGGGGGGTCACTACCGGTTCGAACCCCCCCCCCTCGCCGCCGGCAAACGATTCCCGTTCCTCGGGACAGTTGGACAGTGGTGGGGATACTGGGACAGTGGTGGGGACGGTGCTGGTGGGGACAGTGGTGTGGGAACACTGGGACAGTGGGGCGGACAGTGGGACACCGGTGGGGACGGTGGTGGTGGGGACAGTGGTGAGGGGAGAGCGGGACGGTGGTGGGGACAGTGGGACAGTGGTAGGACAATGGCGGGGAGAGTCGGGACAGTGAGACACTGGTGGGGGCACTGATGGGGACAGCGGGGATAATGGGTGGAACATTGGGGACAGTGGGACAGCGGTGAGGACTGGGACAGTGGTGGGGACGGTGGTGGTGGGGACAGTGGGGACGGTGGTGGGGACAGTGGTGGTGGGGACAGTGGTGAGGGCGGTGGCAAGGACGCTGGTGGGACAATGGGACAGAGGTACAGTGGGGACACTGGTGGGGACAGTGGGGACAGTGGTGGGAACAGTGGGACAGCTCAGTGGAACAGCGGTGGGGACAGTGTGACGGTGGGACAGTGGGGACAGTGGTGACAGTAGGACAGTGGTGGGGACCGTGGGGAAAGTGGGGAGAGGAGGACCGTGGTGGGAACAGTGGTTGGGACAGTGGGGACAGTGCGACAGTGGTGTGGGCACTGGTGGGGACTGTGGGGACGGTGGTGGGATCAGTGGGGACAGTGGTGGTGGGGACAGTGGGCTGGGGACAGCAGTGGGGGGTCGTTTGCCTCCGGCGGTAGACGGGGGGGGGGTTCGAACCGGTAGTGACCCCCCCCCGGTTTTCTGAATGGGAGGGGGGGGGCTTCGAACCGGTAGTGAACCCCCATGGTTTTCTGGAGCGGGGGGGGTTCGAACCGGTAGTGCCCCCCCGGTTTTCTGGAGGGGGGGGGGGGGGGTTTGGCTCGAACAGGTAGTAACCCCCCACGGTTTTCCGGAGGGGGGGGGGAGGGCTTTGGGGGGGGGGGGCCAGGAGGAAGGGGGGGGGGTGAAGGGCGGGGGTTCCAGCAAGGGGGGGGATTTTCGAAGGGGGGAGAGACCCTGGGTTCCGGAGGCAGAGGGGGGGAATTTTCCACAGTAAAGCAGCGGTGGATCACGCTCTCTCTCTCTCTCTCTCTCTCTCTCTCTCTCTCGATGATGATGATGATGATGATGATGATATGATGATGATGATGATGATGATGATGATGATGATGATGATGATGATGATGATGATGATGATGATGATGATGATGATGATGATGATGATGACGATGATGATGATGATGATGATGATGATGATGATGATGATGCGGGTGTTGATGATGCTGGTGCTGATGATGACGATGGTGATGGCGATGCTGATCATGGTGGTGATATGATGATGAGGATGCTAATGGTGATGATTATGCTGATGATGATGAAGAAGGGGATGAGGTTGATGATTCTGATGCTTATGATGATGCTGGTGATGAGGCTGATGATGCTGATGCTGATGATGATGCTGATGATGATGATGCTGATGCTGCTGCTGATGATGCTGACGATGATGATGCTGATGGTGATGATGAGAAGGGTGATGATGATGATGATGATGATGATGATGATGATGATGATGATGATGATGATGATGAGGAGGAGGAGGAGGAGGAGGAGGAGGAGGAGGATGATGATGATGAGGATGATGAGGAGGAAGCTGAGGAGGCGGAGGAGGAGCAGGAGGAGAAGGAGGAACAGGATAACCAGGAGGAGGCCGAACCTCAACGCCCCTGTGGATTCGGCAACCCTTGCCTTCGCCAGGGCCGGGCTGGTGCACGGTGCCACGCACCGCGCGTTGATGGATACTACGGACCACTTCATGGGAATGAAAAGTGCTCCGCGTGTGCCCGTCGTTCCCAGGTGGCGCCCTCGGATTCTGGCATCGTGAAGAGGACACGGCGAGCCCTCCTCTCCCTCCTCCTCCTCCTGCTCCTATGGGCGAGGAGGAGTAGTTGCCAAGTTGCGGGGGTTGCGACTCAGCCAGTTGCAAGGGTGACGCGGCGGTTTAAGACGCTGGTTCTTGGCTCTTTCGGCTTCGCAGTAACTCCTGGTTCACATAGCATGAGATATTCGACCAACGTAACCCTTACGATCACCGTTGATGGCCCTATTGCACTCTTGGCTACGAATTTCTAGATGTTCGGGGAGGAAGAGGACGAGGAGGAGGAGGAGGAGGAGGAGGAGTCAACATTGTGTTTTGCGTGCGCGTGTGTGTTTATCTGTGAGAGAGGGAGAAAGAGAGAGAGAGAGAGAGAGTGAGTGCTTGCTGCTTTGTTGTTGGTGGTGCCCATGCGTAAAAAAGTCTACTGCGCGTCTGTCTTGGTACGCCTGGGCTCATACCCCCGACGTGGCTTCGGAGAATTCGACCCCTTTCCCAGGACCAGCTTTGGATCCCGAGTTGTTCCCTGGAGGTCCTGGGGCCCTGACTAGGCCCCCAGGGGCCAGAAACGGCTCAAAACCTTCATTCGTGATTTTTCCACGACGCGACGGGCTAGAGGATGTGCCCCTAGGATCCATAGCAGGCGCTCATGCACCACCACCACCATGCCTAGCAAGGGCCATCCTTGGCCCTACGACAGTGTACAGGCCCCCCTGGCCGCTGGGACGACGTATGCACCACACCATGGCCCTGGATGGCCCCTGCCAGCCCTGGCCTTGTGGTGGTTGAGCACAGGTGCGCTGTGCGTACAGTAGGTGGCGCGCCAAGACGAGAAGTGAGAGGGGCCTTTCTCTGAAGCACTCTGTGGCTTCGGAGGAGGCTCAGAGAGCTCCCCAGAAGGCCAGAGGCCTTCTGAGCCTTCTTGTGTTGATGTGGCAGTCCCAAGGTGGGGAAAAACTCAGCTACTGCGCTGAGACTAGTTTCGCCTATGGGGCTCGCCAGTCCGCTAATGAGCCGCAGATGGCAGCAGTACGCAAGCGATCTTCAATCAAGATGTGGTGGCAGTCCCATCTGGCTCTACGTGTCCTTGTGACACCCTTCCCGCCCAACGCCAGGTCAAAAGGAAGAGCCTCCGAAATCTATTGGGCCCGCTGCCGATGTAGGACCCCCCTTCGGCTCATGGCCACCAGGGGGCCCAGGGCGCCCCCGGAGCCGCGATGGGCGCCCTGGCCGTCGACTTCGAGGCTTGCGCGCCCCGATCGGCTTCGCCCTTGTCGTCGTCGTCGCCGTCGTAGGAGGAGGAGGAGGCGGAGGAGGAGGAGGAGGAGGCGGAGGCGGAGGAGGCGGAATCGGAATCGGAACAGACGCGAAGTGTCACAAAGCCGGCTACTCCTTGGGCCTCTAGCCCTTGGACAAACGATCGAGAATCTCACGCCTCTTGGGCGTGAGGTTGGCTGTTGTGCAAGCCTGTCCCAGGTCACGAATCTGATCCGACCCGAAACGAGAGCACACTCTGCAGAACCCGTATCCATGAAAGTACACGCGGTGGGACCGATGAGCGAGCACCCCCCCCCCCCACGTGCACCGCCCCTGACCCCGGGGCCGCCGTGAAGAGCCCCCCGCCGACGGCCTCCAGCGGCCAGCACGGGGATTCGAGCCAGGCCGTCCTGGTCGCCCTGCTGGCACTCGAGAAGCATCGAAATCGAGCGGTGCTGGCGCCGTGCTTCGGGGGTTACGTTCCCCGGTCCGTGGATATGGCGCCCACGCGCCAGACCCTCAGATCTCTAAACCACATTCGCGTGTGCACGATTCTTCTTTTTCTTCTTCTTCTTCTTCTCCCTCATCCTCCCTCCTTCCTCCTGCTCCAAGAAACTAGCCAGCTGGGCAGATGCTCAATACTTCCCGTTTCCATCCCAGCGACCGGCCCTGTCATTGCGCCTGGAGTTGGAACAAATATCCGTCCTCACCCCTCCCTTCTCCCCTCCCCCCTTCCTCCTCGGTCCATCCTTCCCTCCTCCCTCCGTCCTGCCCTCCCTCCCTCCTTCCTCCCATTTACGCTGTGCGTTTTATCCATTTCCATTTCCATTTCCCTCCTTCCTCCCTCATCTCTCTGTCTCTCTCTTTTGTTTCTCTCTCTCTCTCTTTCTCTACCTCCCTCCGTCCCTCTCAGCCTTTCTCTACAATGTTTCAATCGGAGTGCTACTTTCCTTTTCCCCGGGAGATGTCCAGGGAGTAGCTGGCCCCTCCCGTTTTTTTTTGTTCTGAAAGAACGAAAACAGGATGTCATGTTTGGATTTTCTTGTTCTACAGGAAAGCAACTATGGCTGTTTGCTGGTCCTTTCAAAATGTCGCTGCCGCTGCAGCGTGGGCCTTATTTCAGGATCGGCGCTTTGCTCCTGTCGTTTAGAATGGCACTCGCCCTAGCGTTGGCCTCTTTTCTGGATCCGAGCCTTTCCTCATCGTTGTCGCTCCCCTAGTTTTGCTCCGCCTTCCCCCGGTCCTCCTGCTCCTCCCGCTCCGTCTGCTCCAGCTCCTGCTGCTGCTCTTCGTCATTGTCCTCCCCCTTTCTCCCTCGAAGAAGAAAACGCTATAAACATAAACTTTTGGTGCTCCGCGCGGATCGCCACAAGCTTATATTAATGCAGTTTTGTCTTCTTCTTTTCTCCTTCTCCTCCTCCCATTCATGCTGCTCGTCCTCCCCGTTGACTTTTCCACATCTGCCGCCGACGCTCGAACGTCTTTTCTATTGTTGCCGCGCTTCCGCTCGCCGCTCGTGCTTCGATTGCGCTTTACACCCAGATGTGTGTTCTGTCACATTTACCGCTTGCGTGCAGTGGAGACCCATGCCAAAAGACACCCTGCTTGCCTGCAGGGTGCCCTGGGTTTCTTGGGTTTCCATGGTTTTGCCATGGAAAGCGCGACGTCCCCACGCCAAGAATCCATGGACGTCCTGGGGTCTCAGGGTTGGGTTTCTCGCGGAAGTCTTCTTGTGGTCGGGATCCTACTGTATCTACCACGTGCGTACATGGGAGGGGCGGTGGGTCTGGCCAGCCACCACGGTGGGCATGGCGCGAACCGGGCACCGAGCTCTTGAGGAGCCCTGCCATCGCCAGCCTCTCTCTCACCCAGGACTGGGGAGACTTGGCGTCCCCTTGGTGAGGTCCCCTCCTGCTCGTCCTCCTGCTCCTCCTCCAATATACGCAGCTCCCCGTGTCTGATTGCGCACAACAAGATAAGGGGTTCTTTTTGGAACTCTTGGTCCGCTATGGCACGCGTCCGCGGGCAGACAAGATCCGCGCCGTGTGAGGGGATGGGTGGGAGGGGTACCCTGAGATCCGACGGCGGGAAAACAATGAAACATACTTTAATAAACAATCACGGCTGGAGCCCTAGACCTTCTCTTTCTGCGCCATTTTTCGATCCGGATCGATTTGTGCGGGTCCCAGGGCCCGAAATTGTGCGAATACGCCCGACTCGAAAAAGGTGAGACGCCAGGATCTCAGGCTAAAATGTCAGACA